GCGGGAGAGAAGACTGGGCCTTTTGGGCCTGACCCGTAGAGGGCTTCTGTGTGGTACTGGGTAGGGGCAGGTTGGGCTGGTGCGCGGTATTGTGGTGGTGCAGGCGGCGCAGGGACAGGTTGGGCTGCAGGGCGGTACTGGGGCCTGGCGGGGGCCTGCTGCGGAGCCGGTCGTGGGTAGTCTTGGTAGTCCAGGTTCTGACCCTGGAGGCCCTCTCTGTTGGTTGTCTCGTCGACGAGGGTCGGTGGAGCTACTGTGATGCCCTCACCCTCCGGTTGGAAACCGTACTGATCCGCACCGTACTGCACGATTCTCACCTTGCCTCCGTCATCGACGAATCCATATTTTCCCTTAACCTCACCGTTGGCAAGTTTCGTCTCAATCTTGAAGGAACCATCGGCTCCCTCGAAACCGTATGTGTAAGAGCCGTCCTCGTTGTGACGGTTTATCTGTTTTAAAATTGCAACGGGCGTCGGTTTCGGGGACGCCGGTGCCTGGGGGCGCTGCTCTGCCGGCGAACCACTGGCGTAGCTGCGTGGCGTTGGCTGACCCTGACGGGGATTCGCGTCGTACTCTTGGGGGAAGTCCTCGTAGCCCTGCTGGGCGATGGTCAAGGTTATCGTCATCGCCAGTATCATCTGAAATTAAAGTTTTTTATTGAGTCCACCCTCCTTCGGAATTGTTTCTTTGTCATATCTTTGCAAGGAAGGGAGATAGCGGAATTCTCATGGGAACTTTTTTGCGCAAAATTTCAAAAAATTACAAAAAAGTTCTTTACGATAATCTTTTACCTCTTTTTGGTTACGCGATAACCTTACATAGATGCTGCACCGTCTTTTCCCCTATGATGACTCCTTTACCTTTTTCTGATTTATTGCCGAGGTTTTTTTTATTTAAAAAAAATATCATTTTAGGTTGAAGGGTTTAAAATTTTAGACGAGACTTCGGGACAGCTGCTCTCGAGGGCTGCGATGGATTAGAAAGAACCGAGAGAACATGCGGGCTCGTAGTAACAATTTTCGGGGTGTAAAAATCTTCGAAATAAAATTCGCGTATGATTTTCAAAAAGAAGTAGCATAAAAAAATCTTGAGGGTTGTACGGAGGATTGTCGATGGAGTCGAGATAATGTCCCATATCCAGGACTCAATGGTCCACGTCGATGGACAACAAATCCTCGTAATCATGACGATTTTAATTAAAAACAACGATTTCGATGGGGTTAGTGACTCTTACTTCAATTGTTTCATGCCAACAACTCCACATTCCTTCTCGATTGAAAAACGTTATGAAACAACTTCTTCAGTACTTTCGAGAATGAGAGTCGTTAAACTTAATCGGCAATATGGATCAGAGCAGGTGAAATTCAAACTCCAGATTGCGCCACAGTAACCACCGGTGACCAAGTAGCCTCAGAACTCGCGTGATTCCTTAATCTCAAAAATTCCGGAATTTCACGTTTATTAGGCCCGCGGCATAATTAGACACGAACTCGTTTTGTAGGTGGGCACTTCCTCGAGTTCACGCGTCAATGATCACGCCAACGCGGATGTATTAGTTGATGTGTTATATTTAAAAAAAAAACCTCCAATCTAGTTTAACGAGAAAGTGGTAAGATAAGTGACGGGTCGCACGCGATTTTATAATTTATTAGGTGATCCGCGGACTTTTTAATTGTATATTACATTCACCTTTCTTGCGAGTTATGTAATGAATTTGCATATACAATAAATCGATGAAAATTCATAAAAACTGATCAGAAAAAACTCATCAGAAATCATTTTTTAGTAAAAAAAAAATTTCGGGGCGGGAGACACTTGAGGATGAAGAAATGATTGAAAATCGATTTTAACGACTTTGTTGTGATCTACCATTATTAATTATCGAGAATACTAGTGATCAATTAGTGATCAATTAACACTTCATCACAGCCACATTAATTACCAACGGTTAACCGCGCACGTGCACACATCTCCGTTCATTGAGGATTCACCTTGAGGTTTTGAATAGAACTAGGGGAATCACCATACGTACCATCCGAAGGGCGCCCATCTTGATAATTTTTGAATTTGCAACGATTGTATTAGTGGACAGCGAGGCTAGAGTACCAGGCGAGGCACGAACTGAGGCCCTCATATACCTTACCTGGACCCCGTCCCTCCTGCCTTCCCCACCTCACTGGCATCCCCTATCGACTTGCTTCAGGGGACTTTCACTATCTATTCCGTTTCTTGGTGTATTGCAAGCCCACCTTGTCGCGTTGCGGAACCGCGTGTCCAAGCCAATTGTACTAACGCCACATGTTATCTCTTGATTCCTCTTCAGGCACAAATATCTCCCATTTTTCCTTCAAATCGAGCATCTTCAGGTGTAAAACAAGTTG